AATACACTAAATTGCGGCCGTATATTAATGTTTTCTGGTTTCTAACCAGAAAACATTACCTTTATATATAATCTACTGTAGAAAACAGAAACATACGATTACATGTAAATGGTTTATTTAGTAACATTTATAAAAGAAAGTTAGATCATTGTTAGTTATTTTTCTGTATAAATAATTATTAATGCCATTAAATGATGTAAAGCGACACAAATAGAAGTGATTAATGTTTAAAAACAAATAACCCCGTTTACAGAATATATTTCAATACTTGTCATTTCTAGTACTACTTTCAGTAATTTACTTATTCTCGTTTTATTTATCAAATTATCACCCTTTTAGCAAGTATTTTGGCTGTTGTACTTTTTTCTTTTACCAGACAAAAGGGGAATCTTGATTTCTGACGAAAAGAATAAAAATAGAGTACCCATACTCTCTCGTAGAGGTTCTAGTAACTATTTTACTAAACTATGTCTTACTCGTTACTAAAGTGTCAATATACTTTTGATGCAATTAATAGCGCACAAGTGTTTACACTACAATTCTGTATATCTATTATAAAAGGTATTTTTTTAATACTATAAATACCCAAAACATTATTTTTCGAATGATTTCAGTAAGGTAACAATATCTTTAAAATCACTGTTTTCAATGCTAGCTGCATTGTAATATGTTTACGCTTGGCGACAGCCGAAGTCATTGAAACTGAGATATCCATACCTTCTACTTTGTACAAAGTATTTTTTTACTTTAATTGGAATGATATGTAAGCTGAAGACCCAGCTGATTGGAAGTATGAATCGTCAATATTAGCTGCATTGTAGTGTGTTTACGCTTGGCGACAGTCGAAATCATTGAAACTGAGATATCCACACCTTCTACTTTGTACAAAGTATTTTTTTACTTTAATTGGAATGATATATAAGGTGACGACCCAGCTAATTGGTAGTATGAATCGTCGCTTACATGAACCTCACAACGGATATCGCGTTATTTGACGCCTGTGATACACTAATAAATTGCCTTTGCAGAGGACTAGGATATCATACCCCTTATCCTGTCATTTCCTCATCCTTTAACACACGCTACAGGTACCCACGCTGCAATATGTTTATAAAATTATCTTGGTATCTATATATAATCCTTACTAATACTATAAAAGCAAAAGTAACTCTGTCTATCTGTGTGTCTTGCTTTCACGCCAAAACTACTGAACCGATTTAAAGGAAATTTGGTACACAGATAGTCTAGATTGTGAATGGAATGAATCGGCTACTTTTTGGGTTGAATGGGGCGATGAAAGATTGTATGGAAGAGTCATCATTTTTAAAGCTAGAATTTTGAAACTTATTTTCTTTACTGTTGATTAAACATAAATAAATATAACATTCAAAAGTTTATAATGTTACCGTAAGGGAGTAAAATAAGATAGAGAATGAAAGTTTATATGGAAAAATAGCCTTTTTTTAAGCTAGAACAATAAACTTTTTTCTTTGATTTTTTGGATAGATTATTGTATATATTTTCTTTACTTGGTCAAGGTCACTAACACGCCGACAATGGCGCAGGCACAGCCAGTTAATAATAAACTGCAGTCGACTTTAAAATAAATAAGTTTAGAGTCTAAATTTTAGGAATTTATGATGTATCTCGTATACGTGCGGTATACTTACATCATGATGAAACTGTTGCAAGACGTAGGAACATCTGTCACGTAAAATCAGTAGTAACGTAGCAAGATTCGTCACCACATCAGTAGGGATGTGAACAATTATCGATTATAGATTAATTAATGGATAATTAGTATATTAATAAAATATCGATTTCAGTATTCTAAAACCTGATTAATTCATAATCGATATCTTTTTCTAAAACTATTTTTATCTTAGTTGTTCAACCAAGTGATGATTAAAACGAATGTGCAAGTGGTGACGTATGTAATTTAAAAACCAAAGAGGAGATTTTTTTATGGTGGATAATTATCGAATATTATTTAACAAATATATTTTTTGTATTGAATTATTATGCACACAATCAATAATACAATAATCGATTGTTTTATACATTATGTGACTTCCCTAGAAACCTCACGACAAGTCTCTATAAGCTGCCAAACGCCCACTTCTCTTGTACGTACGTCTACTTGCAATAAAGAATATTACACTGTGTTAGAACTTTTCTCATTAGTAACAATGATGAGTCAAAGATACATGCAATAACAGGATGGACGTCGATACATTTCTTATTACCGGGACATTTTTGTATAGAATTATTATATAATTTACTACCTGTGCACGCGGTTACACCCGCTTGAAATATAGCCTATATATTATTCTGATGTATAAGCTATAGTACTGTAAAGTTTAATCAAAATCCGTTCAGTACTTTTTTCGTGAAATAGTAACAAATGTCCATCCATCTCGCAAACTTTCGCGTTTATAATATTAATAATAAAATATATCCATACTAATAATATATGTCTGTATGTTTACTACATTTTCATAACAAAACGGCTGAACAGATGTTAATCGAAGTTACAGGAAGCAGCTAATCAATCTATATACTACTTTTATTGACAACCTTAGTGACCTACTAGTTTTGCAAATGCTTCCGGAGGTGGCGGGTTCGATTCCTCACTCGGTATAAACATTTAAATTGGAGTATGGTTGTGTGTATTGCTCAAGGTATTGTCTACATAAATTAATAATATTACCCCTGGGCAATACATATAAGGTCAGCTAGTTCTAATGTAAGTAGAGCTTGTGTTATGGATACTAGACAACTGATAAAAATACAGCGTATAAAAATACGCGAGGAATCGAACCCGTGACCACCAGAAGTAAAGCAGTGTGCTAAACCGCGATACCACCGTGATCGCCTAGTAGGATTATATAATCACACGGTTGTAAACTTATTGTTAGTAGGGCTTCAGTTCTTATAAAACTTCTGATATCAATTTTACAAACTAGTTAATATTTACGTTACTAACTACATTTGTGTGGATTCCGCGTATTTCAGAACAGACATATAGATATGTTTGTGAGGAGAAATAAATAAATCACATTATTATATAGATCACGGTCGTATGATAATATATGAGTAGAATTTATAATTGTCTGAATTGTATCCAATACACATGATATAGTTGGTACATATACATACTAGCTGACGGGGGGAAAGGAATTGTTAGTAATGTGGATTGATAACCCCATTGCTAGCAATGTACCATGTCAGGTTGACCTGCACGCGGTTCCCCCTGGAAACCATCGTGATAAATTCTTAGTGAATTTGTCACGATGGGCTAACTGACCTGATCACATGCTCATCTTATCATCCTCCATTGGTGCCCCACCAACGTAAACCGTTAGCGCAGGCGGATTAACCAATCTATTATCATAAATATAAAAAAAAAATACTAGCTGACCCGCTCAACTTCGTTTGCATCACATATAACATTTATCATTATTATTCGCTTAATTTACACTATAGCTATATTAGAGTAAAGTTTCAACACAATCCGTTCAGTGGTTTTTTCGTGAAAGAGTAACACAAATCCATTTATATTACTAATTGTAACAGCGATTTCACCCGCATTAAATTTTCAATATAAAATATAGTCTATGTGTTATTCTGATCTATAAGAAATATTACTGTAAAGTTTCATCAAAATCCGTTCAATAGTTTTTGCTTGAAAGAGTAACAAACGACATATTAAGTATAAACAATATAACTTAAATATAACTTATACTTATAAATAATATGAACCTACTTATAAATTTTACGTTTATAATATTATATATAAAGATAAAGACATATTTATAGTAGTTTACAGTTATAAGATATCGATATAACTATTATAAATGAGCATGCTAGTCTGTCCGTTACCTTTTACGTAGTCACATTCCAATGTTGTTGGCCGGAGCTGGTCTTTACAGCTTCACCGAATGGTGCAGACGATACACCAAACCCGCGGAAGGACCTTTGGAGTCTCTAAAGGCCGTCTCCTTTCTGACGGATACGGCTTCGAACCTCGACTCAAGGCATCGTAACTTCAATCCCCATTTGAATTGGACGGAATTTTTTGACAGAAATACAACTATTACTATCCTTGCCATCTTGTACAGCTAGTTGAGAAGAACTGGCAAGAAACTCAACTGGTTACTTTAATGACAGTAGTGTGTATAAAATTTCACGCAAACAACACGAATGTTAAAAAATATTGTGTTTTAATATTATAAGTTAAAGAGTGAAGGGCTTCTTAATACTTATCTATACAATACATACTTACATGCATACGTATATAAGTCGTAAAAGCAGATGGCGTGTAACTTTATACTTTCACGGGGTATTAATGCAGGAAACTGGGGGTGTGAATACACACTTGCCTTACTAAGGGCCTGCACACACGTACACTGTTTACACTTCAATGTACTAATGAGAATATGACACGTTTTAGTGTGTAGAGTGCGTTTTACCATACATTTATTATTAAAAAGATACCTCTATGCCACATCTGTACAGACCTTATTAAGCACAAAAATAGCTCGCTATAGCTAAAATAATTCTGTTTAAATACTAACTTTTTCTGTTGTAGTAAAAGTAGCTACTAAAGACATTATTGTAAAAAAGATAATACTAGAAATTAAACTCCACGTCAAGCCAAAGAGTGATTCCATTCTCATTTCCAATCAAATCAGATTTATTTTCCAATGGTAGGACGACAATAAGTTGTTATGTTAATGATAATTATAATTTGTACTATTTATTTTATTTTGAATACCATGTTAACTTTGTGACAGTTATAAACACCGGTAATAAACCAAATTAATCTTAAATATAGGCTTGCTCCCTTTCACATTGGATTCAAGTATTCGTAGAGAAAGATGGCATACATATGTCGAGTATTGCGTTCACCACAATGTTGACAGTGGACAATGCCTGTTACATTCGCTCTCAGAAATTGTAGGCCTGAAGATATTTATATTTATTTTTAAACGTTTCAGATTTTTCAACCACAAGAAACATAGACATTTGTCTAATGGATGCGAGTTGAAATTAAAGCAGAATGTCTTTTAGGAATTACGTAAGTATTATGTATAGTTTTAATTTACTTGTAGATCACTTCTAGGCTAAAGCCCAAGATCCTTATTGTTTCATTACTCTGGTAAAGATATAGGAAACAATCGTTAGAGGTAGACTGTAAGAAGTGATTTGTGTAATTACCTCAGTCCTACTTATTTTAGCCGCCATGCTGTTTGCTTAGTAAGCTGTTTTGGTTGTAGGGTGAGATTAGGCAGTGAAATTATAAGATAAGAGAAAGGTCCTCTGGAATGGAAACCTATGCGTTGTACCATGATTTTAAGACGATATCGTGATGTCCTTAGTGCTTGTTTTTATATACATATAGGTATATAGGCGACATTTACCGCTTCAGATATGTTTACTCTTCCAATTCCATAATCAAATAATTTCAGAATCTATTCTATATATAATTAGAATGGGTGTTGCTATACCTACTCCAATTCCAAACCTCAAAATATTAGACAATGATTAAATAAAAAATGGATAGTATTAATTATATACTGAATTTAATAGTGACAGAAAAGAAAAACAAAATAATATCAATGTTCCATGCATGATGTTCCATATTTAAATTATATAATTTTATTTTTAAATGCATTATTTGGCTATTTGGAATCGCAAACCATCAGTCTTTTTAAATACAAAGACATATATTGATTCTTCTGACTCTCAGTTTTCTATTATACTTCTGTGATTTTGATTTTATCCTTGTTCGATACCATCAATATTGTCACTGTAATTTAATATTTAAAAAGCAGAAAGTGAAAAAGAACATAGATTATAAGATTATATTACTAATTCATTTAGCATCAATAATAAATTGATTTAATCCTTAGCAAAGGATGACTGTATTTTCACTTCATATAGTATATCAAGTATTAAATTTCTAATTTAGAATCAACAGAGTTAAGTGACACTTTCTTTTTAAAATTTTGATAATATTAAATGAAAAAGGAATTCTCATCCGCCCAGCTACTACTTGTATCTCATCGCTGAATTATTGTCTATGATCTTTATTTATGACGCAGGTTTCAAGTGTCAGATCAAGCGTAGTATTATTTTCGACTACGTTTAAATAGCACGTAACTAAAATATAATGTCCGAACTATGCTCCGCGCGATGTAGTATCATTTTGGTGACATCTGAAATCTTTTTAAAGAACTATAACTGAATTAAAAGCAAAAATTGAACAAATTTTTACCCATCACTTCATCTGCTTCTATTGAGATGAATGTTGCCATATGTCCATTCTTGCAATGCAATCATTTTAACACCATATATAATGCAACGTTTAGCAGTTTAATCGTGAAAAGATAACAGATGGTCTCACTTTCACATTCATAATGTCAGTATAGATAAATTTAAAACTGAACCTTTAGTCAGAAATCACAATTACTAGTTCTATGAAATACAATGAATCTCCATAAATAAGTTAAGTTTTAGTGATTTACGATTGTATTCCTGTCATCCCTTCTAAAGTTAAACGTTCACAGTGTATATAAACTTACTCTATCTAGTAAGAGGTAGCGCTTTGTATGACTCGTCTGTATAAATACTGCATTTCCTGTTTGTGCGCATAACTTGCTGTCCGCCCCGTCTTCGCACGGGTGTAACATGTATTATACACTTAAACTTAACTCTCAAATCACTCTATCTATTACTGACAACTGCATTAAAATCCGTTGAGTGTCTGTTTGTCATATTAAATAACCGTTTTTTACTACATGCATATGAATATAAATACGGTACATACACCAATTTTTTTTTACAATTTTGGTCTGTCGGTCTCTCTGCCGGCTAATCTCTGAAATATCTGGAATGATTTTGACGGGACTTTTATTGACAGGTAGCTGATGTAACAAGGTACTCCTTGTTACATCAGCTACCTGTGTTCTATTTTTCTAAAATAAAAGTAACCTAAGTTACTACTTAGGCTACTTTTATTTTAGAAAAATAGAGTTAAATTCCACGAGGGCAAAGAATCTCTGGAAAATCAAATAGTTCCTGGATTCAATCTTAATTTCATTAAAACTGTTCAAACTGTAATCTAATTATTCTTTATTAGATATGTCGATCATAATAAACTAATAAGTAATTCTACCGAAACATCACCTATAGTTATGCAAATTTCGCTTAGAAATGTGAGCAAAAGAAACATTTCAATTTTGATGTCAGGATTTTAATAATAATAAGATATTTATTAACTTCTATAATAATAACAGTTTATAGAAAACATCAACTTGTAAGTACTGAAGATTTAATGGAAGCAAACTATAAACCAGCATTGAATTCGACTTCATAGTCTACTATTAATCAGTCTGGTGCAAGCCCTTAAATATTTTGAATAGCAAAGGGCTCAATAAAATCCCTCCGTGTGTTATCTCCTTAACAAACTTAATTGGATCATCCATATTTTGTTCAAGTTAAGGATGATATTTGAATGGCATCGTGACCAATGTTAAATAAGTCTACACATTCCCTCGGTTATTTTAAGCGGTGAAAGGAGAAGCTTTATGCATGATAGTGTTGAATGAAGTATATGGGCTTTATGTTACACCCAAGGAATAGACATATCGCTACCCGCTTTATTTGGTGTGAACAGTGCATATATTAAAACATACAAAATAGTAGATGAATAATAGAAATTTTGATCAGTAAATAGATTGTTTAGTATTATATGAAACCATTGAATACTTTAAAGGATTAGATATAAATCAGTAGCCAGTACTTATCTCCGCATTTACATGAAATTGAAATGTATAGGAATGAAATTATTAATTATTACATTTCATTGTTTCCAGTATGATACGTCAACCTACGGCCGCAGTCGAGATACGGGCCGGAATGCGTCGAGCGCGTCGACGGACCGCCCTACCACTGTCACAGCCAAATACATCAACACAACGCCATCATATAAATCCTCCAGTATCCCTATACTCTGTTCCGATAAAACTAAAGATGAAACGCCCATTTCAACGATAGCAAGCCGATATGCTAGCTACAATAAAAATGATAAGCCTATCTCCAAATATGAAAAGAAAGATTACTCGAAACTCACTATACCATCAGTCAACACGAAGAATAGAGACGTCAGCCCTATATCAACATCATCGAAGTATAGTTACAGCCGACCTTCAAGGCATTTGAGCCCTGAAAGAAGAACGCCGAAGAGCTTCAAGGAAAAAAGCCGAGATTCCAGTCCTGTAGACCGCGACAAAGACATTCCAAGTAAGACTGATAAGTCTACGAGCTACAGTAGCCTTTCAAGCTATAAATTGTACCCACGAAGTTCAAGTTATACACGGCCTGCATCAAGAACAGAAACTAAACCTGAGGTCACTGTTAACAGATATGCCATAGCTAGTCGGCTTTCTAGTAATTACCTACGAAGTCCACCAACAGTAAAACGAACTTCGGTGTCACCAGTGAATCACATTGATATAGCTAAAAATGATATAGACAAACCCGTAACGCCAACAATTGTAGTACAAGAAAATAGTAAGTTACAAATTAAATCAGTACCAGAGAAGATTGAAAGTAAATCTGAGTATAACAATGGAAAAGAGGATGAAAACGTGAATGAGACTGAAACAGTAACTGTTGTAACCCGACATACATCTCCGACTCCACCAGGGTCTTCTGCCTATGTTCGAATTCGACGAGCTGATATGGCAAAAACTATTGAAAAAACATTGTCTAGACCAAAGAAAAGACCTAATATGATTGATAAAGAAGTTCAGTCTGATAGATTAGACGATCCCACACGATCTAGTCGATTTGGTAGTACTTCAAGAGCTAGTACAACAAATTGGTCTTACTATACACCAGGCGTTAATAATTATACAGGATATGCCGGTAGATATTCAACACAATATTCTACAATACGTGAAAACTCTAATAGTAATGTTCAAAGTGACAGGAGTAGTCGAAGTCGAAGCAAAGAACCACAACCTAAAGAAAACACAAGTTCAATAAGTTCAAGCTCATGTACGGAGAGCAAAAATAAAACGATAGATAATTGTAATTTAAATAATGTGACAGATACAGCAAATCATGATATAGTGACAGTCTATGAACAAAATAAAGATGATGAGACGTCAGAAATAATAATAAACGTCAATTTGAAATTAAAAAGAGCTAAAAGTCCTTTAGCAGCTGCCACAGAATTAGTTTCACCCGAAGTAACCATAACGAATAGTTTATTGCCACCGCAAGCACCAAAAACTGATGGAACTACGAAAATAAAAAAGACTAAAGTAAGAAAATCCAGCACAGATTCATCATCAGACTCAACACCTAAAAAGAAAACAGTAAAAAAGAGAAGCAAATCCGTTAGTTCCACAGATTCTGACCAAGGAAGTGAAATAAGCGATAAAACAAAAGAATCAACCCCACCTTCATCTTCAAAAAATGTCCCGAAAAAATCAACAAGTAGTAACTTAATTAATGGACGCCAAAAATTAAAACATTCCAAATCACGCGAAAGTAATAGTCCAGAATCCAGTATTACGTTATCCACTCAATCTTCAGTAAGTGAAGATGATACAATATCAAAATCAAAAACACAAGATGTTTCTAGAACATCAGCAGATGAAATATCTATACCAACTGATCGATCAGGAGGCAGACAATCATCACCCAACATATCTCAGAAAAATGACGGGGGTACCGAAGAAGCTAAGTCATTTTTAATACGAGCTCTAGCACCTGTAACAAATTTGTTTAAAATGAAACATCAAGATAGTAGTGAAAATAGTCGCTGGCCCGAAAATTCAACGTCAGACTCTACAGGTAAAGACGTTTCTAACTTACTAACAGAAAGTGATAGATCTAGTAAAAGTAAAAATATTATTGCATCTAGTGATGACAAGCTTGTCCAATTAAAAGCTATAAGACATATAGAATCGGGAGAAAAAGCTTGGTGGTTAGACTCCGACTCTGACAAAAAAAATAAAATAAACAGTAATGAAACACCTAATACTAGTTCAGAAAAGAATCAATCAAGAAAAATTAAGCGAATAGAATCTGGCGAAAAAGCATGGTGGCTTGAATCTAATAGTGATAATAAAAATGAAAATTCAATAGTAAATTCAAATTCCGTTGAAAAAATTGATGGTAATAAACAAACAAAAAAATATAAAAATGAAAATGATGAAAAACCGTGGTGGTTAGATAGTAGTGCTAATATCCCAGAAGGAATTGAGAGATTAACTCCTCCGAGAAAATCATCTAGTGATAGTGACAAAAGTGAAAAATTCAACTTTTACAAAGTCAGACATATTGAATCTGGCGAACAAAAAGACTGGTGGCTTACAAGCAACGAAAGTTCACTACAGAATAACAAACCGGAAGCTCAAATAAGCTTAAGTAAATCTGGATCTGACCAAAAAAGTTTCCCAATAAGAAGGATTCGACATGTAGAGTCTGGTGAACGACCTTGGTGGTTGTCAAGCAGTAAAAATATACCTGAAGGCGTAGAGAAATTACCTACACCCCCTCCGCAAGAAGAGAGCGACAGTTCTGAATCTGAAGAAGTCGAAGTCTATGCTACCCAAAACCATATCCCACCATTCCCACTAAATCTACCTGATGATGAACCATTAGGTGACAGAAGGAGCCCTGAAGGTCTTGAAACTCCTAGAGAGAATGAAGATTATAGAGGTCGTACTTCTCCTTATGAAAACAATAGACAATATCGGAGAAACCTATCCTACCAGAAAAGTATGGACAGATATATCTCACGATATACGGATATCGATGATATCCTGGGTACCTCAGGGCAGATCTACAGCCCATTCATGGATTCTATACTGGCAAGAAGAACCGGTCAAATATCGTACGACGACGATGAATGTGAGGAGATAGACCCGACACAAGTGAGAATACACGATAGCACCGCACAAAGGCCAGTCATCAAGAAACTGCGATGCAGGTAAAGTAATCATATATATTTATTACTAGTAGTGTACCCTGATACTTCATAATCCATCTGATGGAAAATGGTAGCCGTTGTATAGTATGAGTGATGACCATGATAATTATTAGTTCCATAGACGTCACAGATGATAACGTCTATTAAATCAGTCGTGCGTTTCTGTTCTTGAGAACTAGGAACTTTTAAATCTAGTATCAATACTTACCTCAAAATGTAAATATTCATTGTTTATTAATAATTATTCTTCAAGCCGAAACACATAAATGAATCCATTGTTGCATCGCGATAGATTATTTTTTAATGATTTAAGGATAGTATATTTACTTTATCTATAATTATACATACTGTAATTACTTTAATGTTGTAACTATATTACAAGGTACAATTAATTCGCTGCTTATAATGTTATTATACGAGTGTATGTATGTTCATATACTCGTAGATAATCCTGTATTTTTTTATTTAAAGGAAATGACAAACATAGTTTACAAAGCAAGCTGCTTTGCGGTTGTAATAAGAAAGACGCAGTCGACTACAGACGTCAATTAAAACCTCTACCTCAGTTAATATTAACCATTTAATATCATTTAAGAGAATGACACTAAAATTTGTAGGGTATGTCGTGTTGTGCACGACTGTGTACTTACACGGAGACTCGAACCCGTTCGTGAGCGCCACAAATCGTTCTCCGAGTAAGGAAGTGCATGCCCAAATAATACGTGCCTCGGACGCTAACTTTCTAGAAGCCTGTTACATCTGAAATTTGGAAGAAACCAACTCCATTCAAGTTTCATTTGCTATATAATATATATCCCGTAAACACTCTCAAATTACTGACTTATCATCATAATTTTTAGAAAAGAAAATATGTATAATGACCGTTAAATAAAAAAAACACTTTGAAATTATGTAATATAAAAATCAAAGTCCTAGTCCCCATTATTTTCATAATTAATATTAATTTTGTTACAAAGTTAATTTCGGTAAAATAATAAAACATAATTATTTTAATAATAATAAAATAGTTAAAAAAATCGAAATCTTAGATAGGGACAGGTCGACAATTACTACTATATATAGGTACTATACGTATATATCTACAATAATGTATATAAGAAGCATCTTTGTCTATAACGATATTCATTAAAGAAGTATTGTTTACTTTCATTCCAGAAGCGAGATTGTCGACTACCGCACCGAAGATCAGGTACGTACACTAAACATTAAGGGTATACATAAAAAAACTCCGAATCGATTAGTTAAACGATTCATTAGTAGCAATAAATTACGCCTATCTCGAACCCGGGACCAAATATTTACGTATGCCATTAAATAAATTGCGGCGCGACTCACCGCATCAGCTGTCGACATAAAAAGTGGCCGATGTTAAGTTAGTTGTAAGAAAAGAAAAACAAGAGGTTGCCTACTGTACAGTTGGATAGAAAGTTCTTGAGTTTGCCGCAACGCGTGCTTTAAGCGCGCACTCGAAAGCTCTACAAAATATTAACAAAACCGATAAAATATAATACATATTTAAATATATATATATTAAAATTGCTTGTTGTATTTGTACAAATATAATTGGAAACAAATATGGAATTTCTTTCTTTCAGAAGAAAAAATATAATACAACATTATTAACTCAATGGATGACAAGCTATCATATAAATAAAATTGAAGTGTCTGTTTGTAATATACTTTTTTACTACATGCATATGAATATAAATACAGTATATAATAATAATAATAATATATTTATTCATTATTACACAATATCACTAATTTATAGGCCGTAACATCTGTGCTAGGGAATCCCTGTGTTACAGATGTTATTTCCACAATGGTTGGCTCAATTACACAATTTTTACGTAGCTTTGACGTAGTTTAATTTTTACTATCTTATATGACATCTGAGTACATACACCAAAATAATATTTTTTACAATTTTTGTCTGACTGTCTGTCTATCTGTTTGTTCCGGCTATTCTTTGAAATGGCTAGACCGATTTTGACGGGACTTTTTTTAGCAAGTAGCTGATGTAATAAGGAGTAACATAGGCTACTTTTATTTTAGAAAAATTAAGTTAATTTCCACGCGGCCGAAGTCGCGGGAATAGTTAGTAGTAAATAAAATTGACTGTATTATTTGCATCTGTCTATCGATAACTTTATCTCTATTTCTATTACCGTGCGTTTTCGTTGCAATCTGGATTCTAAAATTATGGTATAGTTCAAATTATAAACCAAATTCGTGGGTACTATGACTAAACCACAATGCAGCAAGTTGCGTCGATTACATCAGACTGACCGTATGCATTTCGTTTTATAAAAATTAATATCGACTGGATTCAAGACCTAAATTAAACAAAATTTTACATATTCTAAATGTGAAATATATAAATAAATAAATAACCTTGGACAATTAACACAAGGCCATCTAGTCCCATGGTAAACAGAGCTTGTGTTAAGGGCACTAGACAACTGATATAATTATTAGATATTTTTTTATAAATATATACATATTATACATAGAATTGTAAATTTTATAATATACGAATTATACAATTTAAAATGATTCAAATATTGAACATTATGTACTTATACTGGACCAGAATATGTAATGATCTATGAATAGAGAGTTGTATTACATTTGTACAGTCCAAAATGTTCCTACGCTACATAAAGATGAATTCCTTTGCTATTATAAATATTCATCTTAAATATTTTTAAAATATATGTAAGATGGAGTAACCCACATTGGAGTCGAATCTTCGTGGTTAACGCAATACTTGATATACCCAGCAAAGTGGGTATATTTGTCTCTTGGTTTAATTTAATTTGTTGAACTGGTGTTTCCGTCACTAGGGAGTCAGTCAGATGTTTAAAAATACACAAAAAATTTTTTCTCTCCATTAGATTCGAATTCACGATGGCTGGAGTTTGACTCAAGGTATTAAATCACTAAACCATGACGCCCTCAAACAGTCAACATGAATTTAAAAAATAAGTCATTTTTCCAATAGTCTGTGGAATTAAGGCTTCGGCGCAAGTAGAAAGAGCAGTGAACTGAGGAGTGCACCGTATCCTTGAATCAGCCCCCTATGGGAATAACGCGTTAGAGAGAGACGGCAACATTCCACGATGCCTGACATTTTAATACGGTGACGTCATTAACATAGAGTAAAGCAAATTGACATGCATTATAAATCTTCAACCTATGCATTTGTATTAATTTCGCAAATAATTATATAAGTGTCACTAAAAAATAGGCATATCAGAATAATTTTGTACTCATATCATTCCATTATTAGTACAGAGAAACATGGGAAAACGTTCAACTCTAAAAAACTATCGATAACGTATGTTAGTAACAGGTTTTTCGTCATTATATTCTTTTTATCTGAATAAAAAGATTTTTTCTTAATAAATTATACTTTCTGTAAAATGTGAGCATCACTTTTTGAAATTAACAAATACAATTGCATGTGTATAATTAATAAAAAATATTATATAATAAATTGCGTGGGTATAAATAAAAATTAGTATATTACTGTTACATTCAAAACTTCAATATTACTAGATCAATATCAACACAATAGTATACTACAATACACTATTTTACTATTACAATACTTATTTTTTGAGTGCATAAACTTTATATATGTATTTAATAGCGTAGTAAACACTTTATAAGAATATAGATGTAGAATAGAATACATACAATACTTTATCATTGACCTATACTATATCTAAAACTTAATTTTTAACGGTGGCCAATTAAAGACAAATAAACATTAGTTACCCTAATTTATACTCGTATAATCTTTGTATAACAGAATCACTCTTATTTCATCTCTTTCTCCCGTGGTGGACGTTAGTTAATACAGTGTTGTTAGTAAGCATAACCACACCTTTAATAATGGTACCCGAATGGTATAGTTTCTTTATACAAAATGTATCTTTTTAACACTGCCGTATAATAACAACGTGAAAATCGTACCTGGGACGAGTGCTTACTGCCTCGAACGAAACCTCTTCACTTCAGTAACGACAAAACCTCCGTGCGGGCACTACATCAAGTGCGCAATGTCCCCCGCATACAAACACTTTGACATGCAGTGATTTATGTGATACGAAGACAGTGGCTCCCTTGATCTCAGGAAGGTAGTGTTATATTCTATGCTAACAATATTTCATTGCGAAATAACAAAGTTATTTTCGACCGTTGAGCCGGTTTCGGTTTCTTTTGCTTTTTCACGTCTACCGGTTGTCTGCGGTAACGTTTGCTATTGTTTGTACATAGATTATAGATCGATATATATTTCTATATTTTTTTAATTATATGCCAGGATATTAGTAAAACATACTTTACCTATGAATGAAAAATTAATAATATAGGTTTAAGTGTAACAATACTTATTAATATTTTTAGCTTAATTGGTTGTTAAATACTCATGTTACTTATTAACCAAAGGCTTTTAAACGTCGTTTTATTACTTTTGTATTACAAGACGCTTAGTAATTAAATATTATTAATAACTTATTATATTAAGTAATAATTTAGTTAAATTGAATAATAATTATCGATAACTTCAAGTATATTTTAAGAACTACTATTTTTGTTTTAACTACATTTCTAACTTCAAGTAATATATTTATCTGTAGAAATATAACCACTTTTTTAACGTATATTTTATTCTCAAATACATGTACTTACCTTAAAACCTTGGTAAATAAAAAATATAGTAACACAAGTATATACATAAATGTAAAGCTGTCAATACGTGAATTGAATTATAAAAACATACATCTAGTCTGACAATTTGTTATAATTACAAATAACAGTTTTATTTCATGGGCAAAATTTATATGAAAGACGTAGAAAAAGTTTATAACAATGTTGATTCTCTATCGCTAACTTTGTAGCTATATTGTAGGTATGTTTGATAAATTCATATCGCTACGATTTTCTTATGGAATTGTTCCATTAGGCGTTTTGACGTTGTTGTAAATAGATTTTAAATTCGCAAACATGATATAATTTATGAGGCATAGAATATATTTCGTTATCGTTATTCTTCACATATAAACGTGATTATTAATGGGTCGGTCAACTCGTTTGTCATTCTTAAGAATGAGTAAGTAAATAATAAATATATACGGTATTTTTACATATTACAAATTATTCAGTAAACTTATTAAATTATTTTATTTAGTGTGAGTGCACTGAATATAACGTAATATAAGATAAGATATATTACACACATAAAATACAAAAAGTGATTATACTTATAAACAGTATATTTACAGTTTTTTTGTGAACCTTGATTAAGACACAAACTATCGGAAGCTCATATATTTGTCATCCACATTATTGGTGGCAGTGTGCAGAATCAATAAACAACATAAATACATACATAACACATATGCTAAATATAATTTAATTAATGGGGTCTTTTTTATGGTAAATAAAGACATTTACCACTCCCGAATTTTCGTCTAGGTTGCACATACCGTAATCACTAACTCTGAGACACTGGAAAAAACTTATTTACCATAAAATTATTCGTGTTGAGACCCGATTGACTAATGAACTGTACTAATTATAACTACCTCTCGAGAGTATTGATATTAATTCAAAAACTTTTTTTATTCTAGAACCCGATGTAACGAATACATAAATAGAAGAATAATCGTATCAATTATACCACCTAAGCCTTCGAAATAGCCTTCTTATCATACGTATAACTATTCTTTTATACTTCCGGTCGCTTTTATCTGTTATCTTTTTATTTCTTTTTAGCACCTTCGAACAAAGGTTTTAACTTAACAAAAAGGCGAAGCTGTGCCCTTTTCAATATTTGCAAAACCAAAATTGCTTTTTGTTCGAGCCAATATGGCCTTGAAATTACAGTTATGGGATTATTTATGTACACTTTTACTGGATGGAGAATTTGAAGTATGGTACAACTTTGTTTTAGTATTGAAATATGGCACAAGTTTGTGTAACTTTAGCTCTATAAAAGTCAACATTGTTCTTACTTGAACAAAAAATATTATTTACAATTCCAAATTGTAGAAATAAAAGCTAATATAAATCAATCTCTCATGATAAGGATTATATTATTTATAATCATAACTAAATAGCTAAATAATCATCAAACGATCAATAGTTGCCAAATGATGAATGTGGTAATATCGCTTTTAA